TACTAATGTACCGACGGGATATAGTAGATCCCGTTAAGATTTTAGTAGCCCTATAAAAATAATAGGGGGTAGATCCTATTAAGAAATTAAGTAGATTTTATTAGAGGGTAATTAGGCATATAGGTAAGTAAAATAAATATAATAATATATAATATATAGATAAAAGTAAAAGTATTATAATTCTATTAAGTATATATTTATAGTATTTTTATTTAATTTATTTAAAAGAGTTATAGACTAAGGGGTTTAGGTTAAAAATAGGCTAGCTTATAAGTGTTATAACTATATACTAAGGTTATAACTATAAGTATAAAGTAATATATATAATATAGCTTATATAGCTAGAAGCTAGGTAAAAGTAAGGTTAGTAGGTGGTTAAGGGTATATATAAGACTAGTCTAAGAGGTAAGAAGGTAGAAGTATAGTAGCTAGTAATAGCTAAGCCTAGACTAAAAGTAAGAAGCTAACCCTAGTAAAGTCTAAAATAGTAAAAGAGGTATAGGTAAGTACTATTATATTATTTATTTATAATAAGGTATACTTATTTATATTTTATAAGTAATACTAGTAAATATATATTATCTAAAAGATTAGTATATATTTAGCTACCTATTATAATATTATCTAAGTTATAATATAAAAGAAGATTATATAATATATCTAAGAAATTCCTAGGTTAATTTAGAATTAAGTATAGTTAGCCTAATATTTATTACCTACTAGTAAGCTAGCTATCCTATCACTTATTCTAAGTATTAATACTATAAGGCGATAATTCCCTAACTAGTGTTTTTACCTTATAAAAAAAAACCTAAAGAGTAGTAATAATTATTAGGTATAGTAGGTAATAATAAATAATAAGTAAGTACTTTCCTAACATTTATACTAAATATTAGCATATAGGAGCAACGTTTTCTCCCTATATATAAAATACCCTATAAAAAAAAAGTAAGAGTACCCTAACATTTATACTAAATATTAGTATATAGGAGTAACGTTTTCTCCTTATATATAAGAAACCCTAAAAAAAAAAGTAAAGGTACCCTAATAATAAAAGTATACTATAATTCTAATAATTTTTTATTAAGCTTCTAAACCTTATTTTATAACTCTAACCCTTAACCTAGCTAATATTTACTATTATATTTTTATTATTAATATTATAAAAACTACC